TCTGCGTTCGTCCAGTTTTGATGTAGGTTCCAATGCAGACTTGGCAGTATCAAAGGATCGTCTGGCGGTTGCGCCAGTCCCGCGGTACAGATTTAAGTGCCTCGTTTCCCTAGAACAAAAAAACAACACACACACACATCCTCGCGATCGTTCTGCCGTTGCTGCACAGGGAAAGCGGGTTGGCCGCGCTCCAGACTGACGTGCCCGAGATGCTATCGTCAACCCCACCATAATTTGAGAGACCCCGCGGGTAAGTTCCCTCGCCGCACAGACTGCCGTCCTGACCTCGTCTTGCCGGCGTCGCCCGAACATACTAGTACTCTGTGTGTGTGTGCTTCGCCACTCACCACGGGCGACGCGCGCGCCCCGAGAACTCTTTCCGTGCAAGCTCCGTGGCGGGGCGCTTTCTGGCCGTACCGCTCGGGAAACGGTATCTTCCATTCTGTATGTAATGCAGTGGGGGCGCGCATCAAGACACCATATGCTTTTCGTCAGGGTATCCCAGGTTTCTTTGCTCCTCGCGCTGCGCGGTGACTTCCCGCAGCCGTTGAAGGAGCTGCTGCGTTCAGGGTGCTCCAGGTTTCCCCCCCAGGTGCACCTCGCGCACGGGTTCTCACACGCCTCCGACGAGGACACACAGTGCTAGTATGTCCTTCTGCGCCCCAGACCCCCGACGTCATGTTTTTCCCAAAACGTCGACCCCCCGAGTTCTCGACCCGTTTCCCTGGACCGGTTTCTCATCTTGAGTCGTTGTTTGACGGTCCCGAGGTCTGGTGAGAGCCCCCCGAAGCCGCAAATAGCGAACAACCTTCCGTCAAGCTCTTTCGCCAACTAGACACTAGACGTAAGAGTAACCTTCTGCAAGGGTAACCTTTGATGCGGGCCCAATGGGGTCCCCCGATCGCCTAGCGCGAGACGGTAGCAGCTGCTTGCGCGCTCAGGCTTTGCCACCCCGCGGTCCCCCCTTAAGCTGCGCACCACAGGTCGCTCGCTCTTGCCGAGGGTCGCTCTTGCGTGCAGCCGATTTCATGACCCGAGGGGTCTGGGAATCTCGCCACGACAGAAGCTTTCCTGGCTTTTGTCTTAGGAGGGGGCCCGCGGCCCCCCGCGCCCGGTCGCGCCCGAGAGCGCCTGGGAAACCGAGGGCTCGGGCCCTTAAGAACCTCACGAACACTGTACCTCGCAGGGCTGCACGAGCCTTGGTCGGCCACGCGCAGGGGGGGGGAGCAGGGGGAGGTGGGAAGGCTTCTTAGAACCACCCTTGCTCCTTAGATGGCGCGGGCCGTATCTATACATGTGAAGGCTGACGCATTCTGGGAAGCCGCCTCCTTCCAAGAAGCCTTCCCCCCTCCCCCTGCCACCTGGTCAGTTCATGCCAGAGGCACGGTGGCGGACACGTATGCCATCCTGCGCCCCGTTTCAGGAGGAGAAGGAGGACAAGGAGGAGGAGGAGGAGGTGGAGGAGGAGAAGGACGACGAGGAGGAGAAGGGGGATGATGATGATGATGATGATGATGATGATGATGCTGATGATGATGATGATGATGATGATGATGATGATGATGATGCTGCTGATGATGATGCAGCTGCTGATGATGATGATGCTGATGATGATGATGATGATGATGCTGATGCTGATGCTGATGCTGATGAGGATGATGATGATGATGAGGATGAGGATGATGATGCTGATGATGATGATGCTGATGATGAGGATGATGCTGCTGCTGCTGATGCTGATGATGATGATGATGATGATGATGGTGATGGTAATGAGGATGATGATGATGATGATGGTGGTGGTGGTGATGATGATGCTGATGATGAAAATAATGAGGATGATGATGATGCTGATGATGATGATGATGATGATGCTGATGCTGATGCTGATGCTGATGCTGATGCTGATGATGATGATGCTGATGATGAGGATGAGGATGATGATGCTGATGATGGTGCTGATGATGAGGATGATGCTGCTGCTGCTGATGCTGATGATGATGATGATGGTGATGGTAATGAGGAGGATGATGATGATGATGATGATGATGATGATGATGATGATGATGATGATGCTGATGATGATGATGGTGGTGGTGGTGGTGGTGGTGATGATGCTGATGATGAGATGCGATGATACTCAGTGATGATGATGCTGATTATGACATTGATGAGATGATGCTGATGATGCTCATGATTGATGAGGATGATGATGATGATGCTGCTTGATGCTGATGATGCTGATGATGATGAGGATGATGATGATGCTGCTGCCGACTGATGAGATGAGCGGAGGAGGGAGGAGGAGGAGGAGGGGAGGAGGAGGAGGGGGAGGGGGACGATGATGATGATGAATGATGATGATGATGAGGAATGATGATGATGATGATGATGATGAGGAGGAGGAGGAGGAGGAGGAGGAGGAGGAGGGTGAGGAGGAGGAGGAGGAGGAGGAGGAGGAGGAGGAGGAGGAGGAGGAGGAGCGCAGGAGGATGAGGAGGAAGTGGAGGAGGAGGAGGCGGAGGAGGAGGAGGAGGATCAGGGGAGGAGGAGGAGGAGGATGAGGATGAGGACGAGGAGGAGGGGGGAGGATGAGGGTAGGCGAGGAGGAGGACGAGGAGGAGGTGGAGGAAGAGGAGTAGAAGGAGGAGGAGGAGGTGGAGGAGGAGGAGGAGGAGGAGGAGAGGAGGAGGAGGAGGAGGGAGAGGAGGAGGAGGGCAGGGACGAGGAGAAGGACGGGGAGGAGGAGGAGGAGGAGGAGGAGGAGGAGGAGGACGAGGAGGAGGAGGAGGAGGAGGAGGAGGAGGAGGAGGAGGAGGATGAGGACCAGTGTAAAGCCAAGACTCTCAACGATAGTACAATCAGCCCTTTTTCCAAGTTTCCCTTCGTGGGCTCATGCAAGTGTTGTTTTCACGGAGGATACTGCCCCGTTGGGGCACGCCCAATTTGAAAATCATGATTTGTGCCAGAAGACCATTTTGGGGATTTCAATGCCGTGGATCACCGTTAACGTCGCGTATCGGCGAACCTGATTCGTCCTGGAACTGCGACGCCCCGAAGCAACGCAACTGTTGCGCTCTGGCTGTCCAGTCTGACATCGTGCCAAAACGCAATTTCTGGGACGTTCGCCTTGAGGATCTTTGAAAGTATGGTAAATTCTAGACGCTTCGCGTAACCACACCAGCTTTGATGACCTCCCAACACCTCGGTCCGGCCCGTGGCCCTCCTACGCGAGCGCACAAGCTGACCCTTCACAGAACCTGACTGACCCAGTCACCAGCCTTTTCATCTACATAGCTCCTCTGGAGCGGATCAGTCTCAGCACCCCCCTGGCGAGACCCCGGCCGAGACCGTGAAGCGACTCCAGAGGGACCTCGGGGAGTACTTCAACGGGGTATGGCACCAGTGGGCGACCAAGCACCCCACCAAGTCTGGCCACATGTGTGCCGACCCCACTAAGCAGGAGCCCGAATCATGCCTGCGTTTCCTCTAAGAGTGGATCCGTCTCGACTGCCACGCCATGAAGATGGACGTTGCGCTTCGCTTGGGCGTCGACTGGCCTGCGGTCCGTAGTCGGTTCAATGACAGGGACAAGGGCAAGGGCACCCCAGGCAAAGCCAAAGGCAAGGGATTCCGAGAGGGCACTAGCTCCAGCTGGACGAGGACGGGGGAACCCTGGCGGTCCTCGAGCTCGCGCCAGCCCTGGGTGTACTCCTAAGACCCTGTCAAGGCCCTCACGGGCGCAGGCGCGCCAGGCCTGCGCCCCAGGCCAGTGGCGCCCCACAGTGCACGTCAGTGTCTCTCACGGTAGCACCACCCCCCCGCCGCGCGAGCGCGCCTGGTTGGCGTCTCCTGCGCACCACTCCCTGCGGTGCGCCTGATACCGTCCTGGGCGCGCCCAGCTGGGGCTGCTGGCTCGTCCCGGGCATTCATGGGTTCATTCTGGGTCCTCACTTTGCGGCCTCTCTCCCCCTGGATGACTGCCGCTCCCCCCTGGCACGCCGCCGTGGGCGAACCCGGGGGCTGGCCCTCTCCCCTTGCGGGCCTCCAGCACTGCTAGAGCCACCGCGGCATTTGCAGCCTTGTGCTGCCCAGCACAGCGTCTCCGTGGACGGTGCTTGGCGCTCAACGCCCCCCCGGCAACCGGAGGCTGCTCACCGCTCCGCGAACCACTTGCCCTGGCGGCTGGCACCTGCCACTGCGCCATGCCAGTCTCGGGCCCTCCACCCCCGCCGCCCTTACGAAGCCAACGCGCTCGTCTTCTGACTGCCATCCCTGCCCCCTGCACCCCGTCCCCCACGGTACTTCACCTTGACTGCGGCTGTTAGCTGCATCCCCACGCCCGCCCACCGCCCGCCCCCTTGCCCCCGTCCCCCCGCCCCGCCCCCCGCCCCCCCGCGGTGCTCCTCAAGTTCTGCGGCTGGTAGCTGCTACCCCACGCCCGCCCCCCGCCCGCCCCCTGGGCCCCGTCCCCACGCATTCCCTGTCTCTGGTCCTCTCTGCGGCTGCTGCCCGCCCCCTGGTCCCCGCCCCCCACGGATACTTCACAGTTTCTGCGGCTGTTAGCTGCGTCCTCACTTCCGCCCTCCGCCCCCCCCGCGCCCCGTCCCCCACGCTCCTCCGCCTCGTGATTCCAGGCTTGCGCGACGGTTAGTCGCTTTCCTGGTCCTCCCAGGCCCGTCCATTCCCCCGCGGCTGTCCCCCCGCGGGAAGTGCCCGGGCCCACCCACAGTGCGACCGTGGCCCTCGGCCCCCGTCGCTCCCCGCCTCCGCTGGCACAAACTCCTCGGCCCACGGCGCCCCCCCCAGGGCGATGGGGCCGGTGCCGGCAGGTACCGCTTCGGATGGCTACTGGGCTGGACGGGCTCTCGCGCCGTGGCCCTCGGCCGCTGGACGCCACCCCTTTTTTCGGGGCCAGGATTCGCCCCGAGGTGCGCCTCTTGCCCGGCCAGGGCGCCTTGCCGACCGGGCGTCCCCTGGGTGGTGGACGCTCCCCCCAGCACTGGGCCCGCTGTCTTCCTCGACGGCCTGCTCGCCCACGTGGAAGGGGGCACGCGGCACCGCGCCTGCCGATTGCGATGGGTTGCTGGATCGGCGGTTGGCACGTGCAGACCCAACGCCGCGGAGACGTTCGACGAGGTCGCCGAGTGAAGCCGCTGCAGTGTGGCTACCAGCGAATTCACAGCTGTTTCGGCCTGCTACCTGGCCCTCGCCTGGTCCTCGCCGGCGACGGCTCGCACCTCCTGGGGCCTGGTGTGCCCGTCGTTTGAGCTGCAGCGTAGCCCGCTCCCGCCGCTCAGTTTGCATTTCCGCCCGCCGTTGGTTAGCTGCGCATGTTCGGCTCCGTCTTAGGCCGTAATTTAGGTCGTTGCGCTGTTGCTTCGCTTCTTGGCGGCGCGCAGTTGCTCTGTGTCGCTCGCGAACAAAAAAGTAACCGCACCAGCCCGTCCAGAAACGGTGCTCATATGAGTTGCCTCGATCAGGGAAGTGAGCAGCACGCAGAGGAAGGGTCCCCCAGCGGAGACCTCTTGGAGCGTATTGGGGGCATCTTGGCAGGCCATGGGCCAAGGGCCGTCTTTGAGCGTCTTGGGTGCCTCGGGGATCCACTTGAGGCTTCCTGGGGGTCTCTTGGGAGCCTCTTGGAGGCCTCTTGGGCACCTCCTGGGCCCGCCTAGGTTCCTCTTGGGGCCCTCTTGGGGCGCTCTTGGGAGCTCGAAGGGCGCTCTTGGGGCCGTCTTGGACGACATCGATCAAACAAGAGGGGGGCTTTATTTGGGCCCCCCCCCTTGGTAGCTCCAACCATCGCACCTCGGGGCGCTTGTAGGCGCTCTTGGAGCGCTCTTGGGCGCTCTTGGGGCCGTCTTGGGGCTCTCTTGGGCCCCTCTTGTGGCCCTGTTGGGCCATCTTGGAGCCATCCGGAGGCCTCGGATGGCCATCGGGCGCGAGAGGCCGAGAAAGCAACACACATTGATTTCCGTTAGGTTTAGGACGGATCTTGGCCTCTTCGGGGCCTCCTCGGGGAGCTCTCTGGCCACTTGGAGCCGTCTTCGAGCGTTCCTGGGGCCTCTTAGGAGCATCATGGGAGCCATCTTGCGCCATATTGAGCCATCTTGGAGGCCATCCTGGGCTCCCCGAGGCCCTCCTGGAACCGTCTTGGGCCATCTTGGACGCTCCAACTGCCCGCGGACCCCCTCGTCCAGGTGAAAGGGGTACGGGGAGGGGTCAATCTACCCGCCCGCCCGCAAGTCGCTTAGCTCACTCCCGCCCGCCCTCCGAACACATCAGTAACACCCGAGCCTGAACATGTTCATCGGTCCAGGGGAGGGGGTAGGGTGAGGGGTACCCCCCCTGAAGGGCAAGAGCGGCCCGAGACCACCTACGCCCAGAAGGCTGGTGGGATTCTTCAAACGAATCTGCGTGGCGCTAAGGCGAGAGTCGCATTTTGAAAACCACCCGCCCTCCAGCCTTGAGTCTTCTGCTGTTGTCCAAGACGAATGTGCGCGGTGCTAAGGCGAGCGCCATATGTTTAAAGCGCCCCCCCTTCATCTGTGAAGCTGGAGTGGGGAGGGAGTCTCAGGCGAAACGCTCAGCCCGCCCCGTCGACCGGCCTCGGGGTGCGACAGGGAGGAATTATCTGAAAGGGAAAAGAACGTCCGTCCTCCTGCGCCCCGTCTTGGGAGGAGGCCCCCGGCCGAGCCCCCCCCCCTGCAGGATCACTCCCTCCTCGCCAGGGTGAATGAGGAGGAGGAGGAGGAGGAGGAGGAGGAGGAGGAGGAGGAGGAGGACGATGAGGAGGAGGAGGACGAGGAGGAGGAGGAAAAGGAGGAAAAGGAGGAATAGAAGGAGGAGGAGGAGGAGGAGGAGGAGGAGGAAAAGGAAAAGGAGGAGGAGGAGGAGGAGGCGGAGGAGAGGGGGGGATGGATGAGGAGGAGGAGAAGGAGGAACAGAAGGAGGAGGAGGAGGAGGCGGATGATGATGATGATGATGATGATGATGATGATGATGATGATGATGATGCTGCTGCTGATGATGATGATGATGATGATGAAGATGGTGATGATGATGATGATGCGGATGATGATGGTGATGATGCTCATGGTGATGATGCTGATGTTGATGATTTTGATGATGCTGATGATGACGCTGCTGATGATAAGGGTGATGATGCTGCTGATGATGCCTCTGATGCTGCTGCTGATGATGATGCTGCTGATGATGACGATCATGCTGCTGCTGATGATGATGCTGATGATGTTGGCGATGACGATGATGTTGATGATGATGATGCTGTTGTTGTTGATACTGATGATGCTGTTGTTGTTGATGCTGATGCCGATGATGATGCTGATGATGATGCTGCTGATTCTGATTGTGCTGCAGATGATGCTGAAGATGGTGGTGGTGATGATGCTGCTGATGATGATGACGATGGCGATGACGATGACGATGATGGTGATGCTGATGATGCTGCTGCTGATGATGCTGATGCTGATGATTATTATGATGATGATGATGATGATGATGATGATGATGATGCTGATGATGATACTGATGATGCTTTAGTTGTTGATGCTGATGCCGATGATGATGCTGCTGCTGATGATGTTGATGATGATGATGCGGCTGCTGCTGATGATGATGATGATGCTGCTGCTGATGATGATGCTGATGATAATGATGCTGATGCTGATGATGCTGATGATGATGATGATAATAATGCTGCTGCTGATGATGATGATGCTGCTGCTGATGATGATGCTGATGATGGTGGTGATGCTGATGATGATGGTGATGATGCTGATGATCATGCTGATGATGATATGATGATGATGA